AACATAAGTCTTGATCAGTGGTATTTGTCATTACCATAGCCATAAATTAATTTAGATGCTTTTTTCCTTTTTTTGATTTAAGACCATTTTCAAAGATTCTCTTCTCATTGAGATAGTTGCTTGTCAACAGTGGAGATGAAGAGCACCTTTTTGTGGATGGAGTTGGCATAAAAACTGGAGACTACTTTCATCTTTACCATTCAGATCCAAGCGCCGCTTTATCTTCATGTAGTAATATCTCCAAGAATTTCAGAAACCTGAAGCTAGATTGGAGTTTTAGAAGCTGCCAGCTTCATGCAGCTAGGGGTGTTGGTGAAAAGGAAGTTATTGGAGGTTTCGTTTTCGCTTGTTGGGGCCGTGGTGAGTCATTCTTTGGGCACAGCAATGTTGATAGCTCACCATTCTTGGCTAACTTTCCTGGGGTCCCAATGGCAGGGATATTTACTTATGGGGAAATCGGACGGGGCTTTTCAATCTTGAATACAGATGAATCAGGCCAAGAAGATAAGACTTTGTGTTTCTGTGCACATGTTTATAGCACTGTATATTTGTTGGTGTCTTATACTCCGGCACCTATTGAGCATTAGATCTTGTCTATCTTCTTCTTCAAGAAATCGTATCTGATTTCGTGTTGTTAGGGTCATTGAAAAATCCTAGAGGTTGTAGGAGTATACTTTAGAACTACGTAGTTCTCAGGATTCTTTTCACAGTTTCTGCTCATATTTTAGTATTTCTATATCATACGAGCCTATATGAAGTTTGCTCGAACGTATATGAGTATATAAAATAGTTAAACATGACTGAATAGTAGAAAATGTATAAGAACATATCGAATTAAGAGAACAAGTTTAGAATTTAGAAGCAGATTGAACAAGTTGATGAAGGATGGAATTTGGTTGCCTGATTGCTTTCAAAATTGTTCTCTCCCTCCCTTGATAACGGGACCAATCTACAACGAAAGAGAATGCAATAGATTGGACATGGAGTTCTTGTAATTTAATTGAGAAACTGTGGAAGTGGCCACGGAAGAATTTCAAAACAATAAATACGCAAGGGAGGATTGTCTCGGGCCAAAATCCTTTATGAGCCCAGGTATCAACCCACTAGAACTACCCTAAACCATGGACCATGGGTTTATTAGTGTGAGAGGTGTTTTTAAAACACTCCTGAGAGATAAAACAGTTTATATATATTGCAAACTTTCTAACTTTCATCATTTTCTTTTCTTTAGTGTTTCTTTCTTTTATTTTCTACACAAAATAACATAAATTTAGTTATTAATTTATGCACAAAATAAAAGCATGAAAAGTCAAAGTTTCAAGTGCGAAAAATAATGGTAGGTAGCGTTGTGAAGGTGGCTGGTAGCTATCTAGTGATTGTCATTCTTGACTTACTACAACATAGTTTTGTCCACTATTATCTAACATGACTTAGCTGACATGCTCTTAATCTAGGCTGATTGTAAAAAAAAACAAACCCAAATTCAATCGTTAGCCTCTTGTGTTCTTCTCCTCCTAGCCTTCAAAGTCCAGGCCAAGTGGACAGCTGGTTGTTATTTTGGACTTCATACAAGAAGGAAGGTTGAGGTATCATTACTCCCAGAAACAGCTGAAAGCGCCTATATTCACTCTAGACTTGGTAATTATTAATCATACATCTTGGAGAGGATGCGAGCCACCTCTTGAACCCTTGTAGCTAACTCTAATTAAGCCTAACGCAGTGCAAATGCACTTGTAAGCCTGAGGCTGTTCCAATCGCACGAGCCCTGCCCCTGGCCTAGGGCGTGATAGGATTCCTTGTATCTCTTGTGGTTAGCTTAATTTTTCTCTGCACTATGGCTTTAGGGTCTGGGAATATAATGGAGAAGACTTCGGAAACAGCTGCTCATTTTGGTTCTCCGGGGCTATCACGTATTACAGTAGACCAATCTGTGGAGTTTTCTTATGAAGAGTTTGCTAAGGCTACTGTTGACTTCAGCATAGATAATAAGATTGGGCAAGGTGGGTTTGGATCAGTGCATTATGCTGAACTAAGAGGCGAGGTTCGTTGTCATGATCTTTATCAATCATTGATTCATCATTAATAAATGTAGAAGAAAGAAACAAGGAAATCTCCTGGAGAAAAACATCCACTGGCTAAGTGCCGTTCATAACAGGATTAATTAAATTGCTTGAATCTAACCCCTTCCGCGCTGAATCAACTTACTCTTTCCTCCACCTACTGTATTTGCAGAAAGCTGCAATCAAGAAGATGGATATGCAAGCATCGAAAAAATTTCTTGCTGAGCTGATGGTTTTAACACACGTTCATCACTTAAACCTGGTAATTAATATTTGATCCTTTTATGTCGGTCTTGCTCGGGAACTTTGGCACCATTCAACAGTTATCCAGGAACTTCTGTGGGATCTCATTTATTACTTTGCATGCATTTTATGTTCCCTTAATGATCTTTAAGTATTCAATCATCTTATAGTCATTGTATTGCCTGCAAAACAATTTGGGGCACGGGTGATTAATAGGATATTGTGTTCGATTACTACCACATTGAACAATTTTTTCAACAAAAAATTCTATTAGTGTTTACACTAACATACTGCTGGTAATTATTTTACTGACGGATTCTAGAAGATATACCTACCATAGAAAAAAACCTCATCGATAATTTTTGGTTTATTAGTAAATTCATCGTTAATAAAAAAAAATTATTGATAATATTACAGATAAACAATGCGCTAAAAAAATTATCCACTTCACTCCGTTGGTAATTTCGTTGGAGAGTGACTTCATCAAAGGATTGTCCCCGTATCTTTCTTCCAACGGGCTGTTATAGTTCAACAGTGACTTCGTCGGCCATTCTATTGGTATCACAATGCCACATCATTGTACGATTTACTTTTTTGAATCTCTCTGTAATTTTATCAGTAATTATGTATGTAGAAACTTACACGTCATAGCACTTATCACACTCGAATACCGCGGCGACCGATTAAAAATTATCTCTCGATTGAAAAAAGGAACAAATATCTAACATCTTGTTTTTTTAGGGAAAAATATTTTGTTCAAGGAGTCGTCATCTAGTATTATGATCACTAGGAACCCTAATTGGTCAATAGATATTTTATGGTATAAGACTAGTTACACAAAAAGGAAGAAGCTATCACCCTCTAATTGTCCTACCTAAAGTAGGTTGCATTGCTGATTTTGTCTAAAATTGCTTAAGAATTTGTTCTTTTTTTTTTCTTACTTATTCTTCCTTTCATGTTCCTGACTTTGGTGTCAGTGAACAATTCCTATGAATATTTTCAACTTTGGTGTTTGTAAATATCGCACAAATTCAAAAAATACGATACTTCTAACTCTAACGTCAGTGAATATTTTTGCAAAAAATAAATTAAAAGAAAAAATTTTCTATGTTATTTTTTTCTTATTTATCCTTTATTATTATTTTTTCTTTTTAGATAGAAATAAAAAAATATTACACGACATATTTACATTTAACAACAATAAATCACAGATTGAGCATATAACTTAAAAAATACAAAACACAAAGAAAAAAATAAATCAAAGTGTGAGATATTTTTGAAATCAACAAAGATCTCCAAATATTTTTGAAATTTTTTGATATCGAAAAGGAGCTTGTTTGATCAAATATCCAACTAAAATGAGAATAAAAATTATGGCTAAAGCATAAGAGTCTGTTTGGCAAAACATACCCTTAATGAACATGATTTGGGTCGGTTGGATCTAAAGTCTAGATTCGACCCACTCTATCTCTGTTTTTTTTGTCTGGGCTGGACCCAACAGACCCAGCCTAGTCACTGGCTCTAAGCCAGTGACCTGGCTGGGGAGCAGGCACTCGTGGCTCAACCCAAGCGTACACTATTTTCTTGCAACAATTACACAAAAACAGAGAGAAGAATAAGATTTTACTTGGTGAAGCCAAAGGCGAAGGTGAAGGTAACAATGCAAGCATCGACTGCAGAATGCTCTCCTTCTCCTCCTTTTTTTGGTCTTTCCTCCCTCTGTTCTTGGTTTTTTTTAGGTTCTTTCCTCTATTTTCTCACTTCCATCATCTCCCTTGTTTTTTTTCTCTATTTTTTTCCTTTGTTTTTTTTTCTCTATATTATCTTCCCTTTTTGTGCATACACTGAGATTTGTATTTATAGTACCAGGGTCCCTTCGCATATGAGAAACAAAATTTCTATCAAACTCATTTTTTTTTGAAGCTTGAATTTGATTAAGAATTAAATTTAAAAGCGGATAACTATTATTATCTTAAAGATAAGGATTATCTTAAAAATATAAATTATCTTGAAGATAAAGATAGAATGACAAAAACACATTATAGTCTCTAGTTTTCACGCAAGTTAATAAATCATACTTTTAATTGAAATAAATCTTTGATATTTTAATTTTATATTTTAAACCCTGTAAAATTAAATTAAAAGGCTAATTGGCCAAAATTGGGTTACAATAACACTGTTTGGTTTTTTTTTTAATTCCTTCTATTCCAACTACAATGTCCTCGATATATATTGACGATATATTTTTGTTTGTATTTATCGATGAAAAATTTTGATCTATAAATATCACCATAAAATACCGACAAGAAAAAAAAAATCATTGTTGTTTTCGTTTATATTTACTAATTTTTTGGCAATGAAGATTCCTTATTCTTGGTCAATGAGTTCATTGAGAATGAAAATCTAAGTCAACATTTGCTAATAATTCGGGTAAGAATGCATCTACATAATCAATTTCTAGCTTTTGTGTCAAGTTATTCTAATGATGATGTTGAAGATCTGTTCTTTTCCCAGGGAAGGTTCCGTTGCCATGGTGAGCTAGGGTTCACATAGCTCTAGACTTGGCCAGAGGCCCTGAATACATCCATGAGCATACTGTACCTGTAAATATCCACCATGTTGTCAAATCAGCAAACATTCTGATAGACAAAAACTTCCGCGGATAGGTTGTCGATCGTCCCGTATTCATACTGTAGCCTCTGAAGTCTATTTATGTGAAGAGTACTCCAAGATAATATTTTGTACAGGTTGCAGATTTTGGTTTGACAAAGCTTACCGAAGTTGGAAGTGCCTCATTGCTCACATGCCTCGTGAGTACATTTAATAACTTGTCTTGTATGTCTGGATCTTCTGCAGTTCGAGGATGTTCTGAGACAGCCTGATCCAAGAGAAAATTTCCCTAAACTAGTTGATCCTAGGCTTGGAGATGACTACCCTCTTGACTCCGTTTGCAAGGTGAAATTTGATCACAGGAAATCCAAGTTTCTGCAATCTAGACCTGTGTCATCACTAAAATACTTTAGTTTTTTGTTTTGTTCACAGATGGCTCAGCTTGCTAGAGCTTGTACACACAGGAAATTCCTCAAACTAAGACCAAGCATGAGATCAGTTGTGGTAGCACTTATGATACTTTCATCCAACCCTGACGATTGAGGGTGTTGGTTCATTCCATGATAATGCCTGTGCATTGCAATGATTGTTACCACTATAAATCCTGATTATATTTTTTTCTGTTTTATTAACTTTGTTCTTTGAATTTCTAAATTATTTTCTTTCCATATTCATTTCACGTGTAATTATTTATTTTTCCAAAACTTGTAATTTTTTTCTTGTGAAAATTTGTAGTTGAGAGTAACTAATAAAATATTATTAGTTATTTTCCTTGTATTATAAAATTTTCCTCTACAACAATCCTATATATATATACACACCTTTAGATGACAACAGGGTTTGGTTGATAAAAAATGGAGTAGTTGAGGCCTAAGGGTACTTGATTGAGACAATCCATTGGTGGGAGACCTGATTAAGACATATAAGATAGTTTAGGGGCAAATTTATCCTTCCATTTGTAATATATAGTGTGCTTGCTTTAGAAGGAATCTTAGGCATCGTTTGGCTGCTATTACAAGACAAAAGACGAAATTACTGGGAAATATTTATTTTCATTTCCTCGTCTCTTACTTTCTAACAAAATAAGTTTCTATTTATTGTATATATAAGTGTTTATCTCTTCTTTCGTATAACACTAACCAAGAGTTTCTCTATTGAATTATTGTACGGAATCATCTTTAATTATAGCACGACTTCAAGCTTTTTTTAAATAAATTTATCATGCAGTCAATCAACCAAACTCAAAGTTATGTGTTCCCCCTTCAGGTTTACCTTCTATGGTAGAGAAGTGACTATGATCTCCCCAAGAAATACAGTGTGCGATGGACGTGAAGGAGTAAACCACTATCCAAATCAATCTTCCTTTTGGCACCTCGGCTAATATCCAAATCCAACAAAACTTCGAGTATTGAAACTACGATGAAAAGCCAAAAAAAAGCACCATCCCAGGGTGCTTCTTCTTCAACAAATTCACCTTCACGCAACAAATTAAAGATGACCTTTCTTGGAAGCGTTTTCTTCCACAGGCTTGACAATATTGGCGACTTCATGAGGATGATAGAGCGGTTGTTGAACAAATACAGATCTTGGATGGCTTCAAGTATGCGGACTCTCTTGGCCCCTTCCTTCCGAAGTCCTCCCATGAAATGATGATCATGCCAAGAATTGTTATTGTTATGATATATAAAATAAATCCAAATCCGACGGAGTAGCATCGCCTTCAATATTCCAATATTAAATTAATCAATGTTTCAACCACTCCTAACTTTATTTTCATTTGTGTGGGCAGATTTGGTCCACCGGCCAGTGGGCAGGCCAAGATATATCATTGAATTAATTAAATAATCCAGCAGCAAAAACTCTTAATTTCTTGATTGAATCATCTCACGTGGGATTTAATTCTTGTTGAAATGAACGGTAAGAAATTAAAAAAAAAAGTCATAATTTCTGCTCTTAAATCAATCTTCTCCTCCTTGGACGGCCACCAACCACACACGAACGGCACACCATCCCCACCCGTCTTTCTATGCCGCGGCGGTGGAAGGTCTTGAGCTCACGTTAGTTCCAGGTTTTTTTTTTTTTTTTAATATATATATAAAAAAGAAAAAGAAATTTAAAGTCTTTTTTCTGCATAATCATCGAATTTTGACTTGTGATGTCCCAATCCTAAAATATCATTATCTACAAATAAAAAAATAAAAAAAATAAAATCGTGTCGATCCTAAATAAAATTGGAGTCAACATGCATGCTCAGTAAAACAGTTGGAAAACTAAGACAGCGTTTACTGTAAAGCCGGTCACCACCAACTCACTGCTTGCTGTCTCCCCCAGTTTCAAAGCGCACACGCAATCCACACTTTATCCACTTGCCTCTCCATAAATATTGTTTTCATAGGGTACCATTTGGTCCCTGTTTCCTTACTTATGTTCCAATATGGTCCTCTCTTGATCTATGATCTTAATGTCGTCCTTTTATGGAGTGTATTCCCTGTTTTGTACGACAAATTTGCGTGGAATAAAATTATTTTATACTAATATGATCTTGTTTTCAACTCTTTTCGAGATGATCTTTAGTGATTGTAGATTGAGAGATAGAATGATTATAGCAGTTGAGGGACTAAATTGAAACTTAAGATAGTAAGAAGATTAAACTAAACAAAAATGAAAGCAGGGTGATCAAAAAACACAATCTCTCACAGATCCCACTAATCACCATTTTAATTGGATCGTGAGCCACAGCCTCCCAAGCAGCGCGTGAAAAGATGTCCTCTTCCTTTCACAATCCGCAAAGTAGCCGTTACAAATACCACCTGGCAACTTGCCGACACGAGTGTTGGCTTGTCACAAGTACTCTTACGTGTAAGAGCATAAAATAATACTATTTGTCTTAATTGGGTTGTTTTGTTTTTTTCCTAAATACAAAATAGTGTTCGCTTATGGTAGTGTAATTTCAATTAAGTCCCTTAACTTTAACATCATGCAATTTAATTACAATTATTATTGAACTAACAATCAAGTTCCTCAATCACATTTCCTGAAAAAACAAAATACTAGTGAGTTTGATACAATTCTCAAAAGCTTAGGATTTGATTGCATTTTGAGCACCAAAATAAAGATATGGTGATGGGACACCACAACCAGCCACATCAAAAAAAAAAAAAAAAAAGTGATATGGGAACTTAATTTCAAGACAGAAATGGTGAATCTACAAGAATTAGTGGTTTAAGGACTAAAATGAAATAATCGTGAAAATGCAGTACTGAATTGTAGCTCTCATTTCTGGAGTCGAGCTGAGACAGAAAGCGCACTTTTTTAGCACTATAAAAAAAGATGGTCTGAAATCGATAACGTTAGCATCGAAACAACGAGAACGGGAAATTTTCACTTTCCGATATCTTTTTTTTTCTACTTTCTCCCCATCTTCATCTTCTTGTACTCTATATTCCCATTTTCGGACCTTACCTTTTGATCTGTATTTATTAGTACAATAATTACTGAAGGCGTGTGTGGTAGCGTGCTAGCTACTTATCCTTTCAAACGGAGAGGAAGCATACTGTTTTCTTGGATTAAGCTATAAAGTTATCCAAACACTTGCTAACTCAACTTTCTCGGTTTTTTTTGTTTTGAAGATTGAGAGGTCAATATATCATTGGAGATAAGGAAAGAAGTTGGTTACTAGTAAGCAAATTTCTTTTTGAGCTCCTTTGGTTTACCTGCTGTGTTGATTTTTTTCCCTGTTATTCGATGTGTTTTCTGGATTCTGGCAGATGGAAAAATTTATTGAATATGGAGATTAATTTGATGTGTGATTAGGATTCGTTTAATTTTGATTGATTTGCTTTATAAGTATAAAAAGATGATCTTTTAGAGATTTTACTTGAAAAGTTGCTATCTTTTGTTTTGACGTATAGGGATTGAAAGGAGCTGTTGGATGTTAAATATAGTAGTTGAATTTCTTATATGGTTTTTAAATTTGCTTGAGAAGTTGTTTGTTTTTAATGTTTTTTATAAGGTTTTTGTTTTGGTTCTTTTTTTGAAGGTATAAATGGCAACGCTTGCAGATATAGCGGTTTCGGGGGCTATAAATTTACTGAGTGCATTCATTTTCTTATTGGCATTTGCAATTTTGAGGCTACAACCCTTCAACGATAGAGTTTACTTTCCAAAATGGTATCTGAAGGGCTTAAGAAGCAGCCCCTCGCGCTCTGGGGCATTTGTTCGTAGGGTGGTGAATTTAGACTTTAGGTCATATATCCGGTTTTTAAATTGGATGCCGGAAGCGCTTAAAATGCCGGAGCCTGAGCTTATTGATCATGCAGGGTTGGATTCTGCTGTTTACTTGCGCATTTACTTGATGGGGGAATCCGTTTTCCTTTTGTTTCTCGCTCTTTTTCTATGCTCATTTGTTGATGAAAGATTGGATGCTGTACTTGTGCTATCTAGATGTTTCTGAAAATGTTTATGTCATTTGTTAGTATGTGCTGAGCTCGATTTTGTTGCCTACGCAGACTTAAGATTTTTGTACCTATATCATTCCTTGCTTTGGCGATTCTGGTGCCAGTCAATTACACCAATAATGCTCTAGAGGCAGTCAAGATGGTGGCCAACGTGACTGCTAGTGATATTGACAAGCTTTCAATTTCGAATATACCACTTAAATCACAAAGGTAGGAATCCATCGTCCTTTGCTAACTTCTGCTTCCTTGTCATCTCCGAGTTTTGATGAATCTTGATACATTCAGATATATTGATCACAATTCTTTTACCATGTTATATAGCATAATGACCCTTTATGGATAACTATACGCATAGATTATTCTGTATCTGTAGAATACATGTAAATTATTATGTATCTGTCGAATACTTATTCCTCAAGACAATCACATGTTGTTTTGTATTTTTTTGTTCACATCCTACCATCTTCTACTTCCAGGAATATCTTCTCCTGTTCTTTTTCAGTGTGCCCCTATATTTATATTTATTGCATTGCAGATTTTGGACGCATATAGTGATGGCTTATGCCTTTACTTTCTGGACGTGCTACGTGTTGCTAAGGGAGTATGAGAAAGTTGCTTCGATGAGGTTGCAATTTCTTTCCTCAGAAAGACGTCGTCCAGATCAATTCACTGTAAGATGAACTATTTTCCTTATTGATTTATTTCTTTTTAGAGTTTTTTTCCCTCAACCCTGAGCTTGTTCCTCAATTTCTATTTAAAGAAATGAATTCCATTTGTGAATATTTTCAGAATTGGTAGGGGGTAGTTAGCTTGCCCTCCTATTTAAGAAACTTGCATCATTGAGTTTACTCTTCCCAGGTCCTTGTTAGGAATGTACCTCCAGATCCAGATGAAACTGTCAGTGAGCTTGTGGAGCACTTTTTTCTAGTGAATCATCCAGATCATTACCTCACTCATCGGGTATGTGCCTGCTCAAACAAAATTTATATTGTAAATAATCTTTGGTAGAAAGCTATGAATTTATTTGATGACATGGAATAGTCAGCACCAATTTTGTTCTGAAAAATATAGGAAACCATTTTTTTCAAATGTGTGTGTGGGCATTATGCGGATCAATGTGTGCTACTGGTACTTGATAAATTATATATCTTCAATGATTT